ATCTGGGTAAGCAGTGTCATAGGAGTACTTGCACAATGGCGGGAAAGAGTCCATATACCATCATGTGCCGGGTTTGCGTGGGCATTATACGAGGCAGGGATCCAGGAAAAATTGTTGTTGAAGATACCGTATCCGACGTAATAAGCGCCCAGGGCGCTCTCAAAATTAGAAAGAGGGGGCTCTTATTAGAATGTTATTTTGGTGAAAAAAACAGAGTTGAAAGATAAATTTCGTGGTTTATGCTGACAGCCTGAAATGTTTATGTACGACAGATATATTTTTTCAGAATTTAATTGCCCATAACTGAGGGTGCATATAACACACGAGTGCGTAGTATATGCGAAAAAATAAGTCTTGTGTACATTGATCAATCGGAAGGAGTGCCAATTGTTCACCAGCCAATATATTAGCAAATATCCCCGTGGGCGCTTATTAGATCGGGGTGCTTATTACGTTGAACACGGTAATAATCATAAGACGAGAACGATCATGTAGGTGAGAGTCCGGATTACCAGAAAAAAGGCTCGAGCCAAGTGAGACAAGTGTCCAAGAGAACTGGTATAAAAATCATTTTCCAAACCTTTACGTCTGAAGTGTCTCTGTGTGAGGATGATGGGTAGATGACGGATTCCCTGATCGTTGATCCTTGGAAGAGTAATGCTCATTGGAAGAATGTTCATCCATGGAGGTTTGTCAAACCCTGGGGTATGTTGCTCCTCTGAGAAGCATCGCTCCTTAGACGTTTGTCGATCCTATGAGCTATGTCGAACCTTGGAAGTGTGCTGCTTCCCAAAGGAGTTCCGATCTTGAGATGTTTGCCGAACTACAGAATGGTCTTGATCTATGGAGAATCTCTCGAGGTATGGCGAATCTGAGAAGATTGCTGACTTCACAATCCTCATGAGAGCAATCCCGAGAATGAGACCTATGCAAATATTGATAAAGAGAAGTCTGACAAGTCTGATCAGTGATCGAGTCACAACCACTCTCCAGGGGAAGGACGAATAGGAAATCTGGAACGTCTAGGAGAAAATGGGGAGCGACGAGAAGTGACTGTAGAGGGTTCAATCAAATCTGCATTCATAAGGATGCTCTCAGGCTTAAAAAGCTTGACAATATCAGCGACAGAAGACGAGGACGACAAAGAAAGGGTCTCTGGTAGGCTTTGTAGCAGTGAGAGGGATCACAGCCGAAAACTAAAGGTTCGGTCGAGCCAAATTTGCCGAGAGAACTTTCTGTAAATCTGAACCAGTAGGTCTGTTCGCCGAAGCTCATGAGGCTAGATTCTTCGTGATAGGCTGAGTGGTCAAGACGGAGATGTCTTCTGTTAAAAAACAGATACCTTCATCGTTGACAGATAATATGGGAAGCGCAGGATCCGACGAATACACAATCATTGAGGGTGCACATAGTTTCGCCAGTCTTTTAGACTTTTTCAAAGAAGTTTCTTCGTTCTTGTCAAATTTTTAAGTGGATTAAGAGAGCCTGTCCTGTTCTTGACACCGACATTTATGAAGGTAAATACTGAAGGGATCATCAGGAAAATCAACGCACTTGGTCTGAACATCATGCAAGAAAGACACGTTAGATGACACATGGACTGTTTATCCATGATGAAAATAATGACAAAGAAGTAGCGAAGACAGGAAAATTGAAGAGAGAAACATTGAAAAATAGAAAACATGAATGGATTCCCTTGATGTAAACACATCACCACACCGCAGCAATTAGAAAAAGAATGAGTTGCCTGGGAAAATCATGTGTTCAGCGCATGTAGGTTGATTGACTTGAAAGCATGCATGACCCAGATTGTTGGGAGGTGACCATGGTGATGCTGGGGGTGTTCGGGTGAATTATTTTTAAGAAGTTTGAAACCTTTGTTCAGGCACATTTCCTCTTAGGTTTGAAAGAAGAAAAAAAATGCATCGGATAAGATTGGAAAAGTTTTAAAAATTTAACTTTTTACCTTATGTTTGCAATGTGCCTGTAAAAATCTGCTCAGGTCAAAGACTTGCTTGTGTTCGAATTTTAGACCATCTGATCAATTTTATAATCTCTTACGACAAGCTACTGGGTGACTGTAATTCCGTAAATTCCTTGGTGGTGCTTTTTTTAAGTTAAACGGTTCTGGGTGTTTATGAATCATGCATGAAAATATTTCTGGGTGTGATGTCCCACGATTCAATTCAGAGCTAGCGTGATTTTATTAGAGGCCAGTGTTTATCAATGCCTAGATTACAACACAAACAAAGGATAATGCCTTGGTCTTATGAAGCCAATCACACTGTACTTTCCTACCCAGAGTTCCTTGCGGCCAGCTTAGAACCTCTGCCACATTGTCACAGCCTACAGTCCATTCAACATACCGTATTCGACGTAATAAGCGCCCAGGGCGCTCTCAAAATTACAAATAGGGGCTCTTATTAGAATATTATTTTGGTGGAAAAAACAGAGTTGAAAGATAAATTTTGTGGTTTCTGCTGACAGCCTGAAATGTTTATGTACGACAGATATATTTTTCCAGAATTTAATTGCCCATAATTAAGGGTGCATATAACACACGATTGCGTATTATACGCGAATATAAAAGTCTTGTGTACATTGATCAATCGGAAGGGGTGCTAATTGGGATTGTTCACTAGCTGATATGTTAGCAGTTATCGCCATGGGCGCTTATTAGAGCGGGGCGCTTATTACGTCAAATACGGTATTGCATGTTTTCAATTTCTTCTTCACATTTGGATTAAGATGTCCTTAATTTTCTTACTTTCATTGACAAAATATCTTGAAATGTTTAAAAGTATTTCCATTTGCATAATTATCCTTTGTTTACATTAGTTGTATGGTGCCATTTGCTGTCACTGAAGCCCTACGGAGAGCTAGTGATACGGTCAATTCGATGTATAATTACTATAAAGCTATGTTGCCATGCACCTCGCTATCGCAGTTTTAGTAGCACACAGTGTCCCCTCAAAATACAGCCATTGAGACTTTTACACACCAAATGCCTCAACGGTGCAAAAAATAAATATCAAGGCGCCCAAATGATGCAACATATAATCCAAACACTTAAATATGTTTTTGATCGTACTTTTAACTTTTGACTTTAATTTAACATTAATTTCCTTTGTTGTAATCAGAAGTAAACACGTTTTAGCAATTAATCATTTGTTGTAACCTCGAAAGTCTTCAGTTAGCATTCAGTAATGATAGGTTTAGCGATACATTCCGAATGAATTGACCATTGCAAAGCTTTTGATTGGCTGGTTCAATAACTAGTCCCCATTGGCTTTAGGCTTGTATTAATGTGGCATCAGCTTGTCGTGGTGTCTGAGAAATGAAGCGAACGAGCGAACGCTTTAACCACTAGGCTACCCGACCGCCCCCGCCCCCCCCCCAACTTCTCAAAAAGGTAGGGGTCATTGGGCCCTTCTTTTTCCAGTTTCTGATATGAACTATGCAGCATATCTACATAATTATTCAAACAATTTGTAAAACACACTGAACGGCTTGCACTTGGCCTGTCTGTCCTTACTTAAGAATAAGTGATTTGTTAACAAATAAGAGAACAGTCCGGTCACATGATAAGCCTACTCTTGCGGAAAAAGGACACCAGATCTGAGTAAGCTCGGGGATTATCGGCTATTGTTTACAAACAATGTCTCAGAAAGGTTGAAGTACTGTCCATTCAATGGCAGGGTTTCAAATTCCATGTATTTAGTGACAGTGGCACAGCTAAAATCATAATGGCATGATCAACATATGTTCCCTATGGCCAAAGGGCACACTTATAAATAGTGTCTTTAAAGCAACAGTACCTTGTGACAATGGTTGCTACATGAAGCCAATGATAAATATACTGTCATGCAAGAGAACATGACAAACACATGAGTGAGTGAGTGAGTGAGTTTGATTTTACGCCGCTTTTAGCAATATTCCAGCAATATCACGGCGGGGGACACACATCACACATTGTACCCATGTTGGGGACAAACACATGAACACTTATGAACATATGAACATCCTAAAGCACAGTATGATGTTATAAATATAATGTTGGGTATTATCAGTCTCAATAAGGGGAGGGAGCAAACTTTCTAAAATATAAGTAGTTATTATCTAACCTTATTGAAATGAAATGATCAGGTAAAGTTTGCCTGTACCCCTTGCAAAATGTATTCAGATACACGTATGAAAAGATCTGGTGCATACACTGAAGTTGACCGAATTTTTATATTTATTCAAACATATTAAAGTCATAAGGAATAGGCCTAGTAGTCAGAAAGAACTGCAAACATTAGTGAGTGAGTGAGTGAGTGTGGTTTTACGCCGCTTTTAGCAATATTCCAGCAATATCATGGCTGGGGATACCAGAAACGGGCTTCACACATTGTACCCATGTCGGGAATCGAACCCGGGTCTTCGGCGTGACGAGCGAACGCTTTAACCACTAGGCTACCCGACCGCCCCGCAAACATTAGTGACTTGTAGTTTAAACATAGAGGTTTAGAAACTTTTTGTCATTAAACAATATATCACGTGACTAACCATGGGTCTGGGTAGTCCTGTGGGTACCCGGGTCCTACTCAGTTCCCACCCGACCCGAATACTCAAGTTACCCGTCCCAACCCTACTATCCATTCACGAGAAATAGGTAATCTGTAATTCTGTCTTCAAAGCAGGATTCGTATGTACATGTTTTCCAGACCTTTCCAGTGATCACTGATATCAAATAACAATATGGTAAGCAGAATGAATAACATTCAGTTGTTGATGATAATCTGTTCTGGATTCATAAATGCTAATATGATTATAAAATAAACTCATAACGCATGGACAAATTAATCTTTTAAATACATAGTTAAATATATTTTCTTCAATTTCTATCATATTTGATGTTGTTTGCCAATAAATGCGCAGTTGTTTGTATACTACATCTATTTCCTCATTCATTTGTTTACATGGGAAATGCATTGAAAATCCTTATACATAATACGTACTTGATACTTGTTGTCATCGTCCAAACGCAGAGCTTGCCCAATGCTTTTCATAACCGAAACTAAACTTTGATCCATTGTTCTGAAACAATCACAGGAAGTGGTTTCCTGGTAATCAATCTGTGAAACAAGTGTCCCTTTCTGAAGCACTGAAGATCAAAAGCTGATACATGGAGCTCGGCACCAAGATAGATATGCAGTCGAATAAATGTAATCAGTTCATGACACTTAAAACATCCAACGTAGTACACATAATCAAAGTCTATTCTCGTGAATATTCATAACATTATGCAGTTATTATGATTTATTTACAAGCTGTCAATGATTCTCTTAATATTGACAAATAAAACAGACGGCTCATCTCTTTGGCAGGTGCTTTCGTGAGCTCGGTGTTGTATTTTCCTGCAGAATGACACAATTTTATTATAGTTTTTGCTTTAAAGAAAACTCATGTATTTATATTGTCAATAATTATATCAGTAGAAGGATGTAGATATATTTTAAAGTATTTAAAAGCATATTGTTGTGAAGTTACCCGTTCTTCTTTTCTTAGCTACGAGTGTTCAATCGTTTGATAATTAGTTAGTTGTAGTACAAGCAGTATGAGGTCAAAGTACATTTTGTTTACGGATATATCCGACAAGAAGAAAATATTATATTTAGACGTTATTCGCTTATTTTTACACGATTATGGTTAAAATATACATGAAAATAATCTGTATTTGTCACAAACTAGAATAGTTTATGAAAAACATGACTGATGATAATTGGCGGGAACTCACGAAGTTCGCGTTGGTTAAGCAAAATGGCGGACGAAGAGGCAGTCCTGGTGGACGGGAAGCCAGTCGACGAACTAAAAGTAATCGATCTGAAGAGAGAATGCGACAAAAGAGGACTATCAAAGTTAGGAAGCAAAACTGCATTGGCTGACAGATTAAAAGCTGTAAGTTAGTACAAACTGCATGATTGGTTGGAGTAAATTACGGGTGAAAATGACCGTAAACAAAAGTAGGCCAATCTTTTGACAGTGTCATTCATTTTACAACTTTGCTTATCAAAATCTTGGAAATTATCTTCACATATGTTACGTTGCTACCTTGATTATATCAATGTTAATTCTATTAATGCAATATTACGGTTAGAAAATACCGTATTCACGAACGATGTTACTAATGTAAACAATTTATGACACGCATTGTTTTCTTTGTTAGTAAACATTCTTCTGGCGTTATAAGCAAACAAGACCTTACGAATTCTGTTGCAGATTTATGCCCATTTGACCAAGTGTTAGATCGCTTATTTTTCAAGCATATGCATCATTTAATTCTTTTCAGCAACTCCTACTAGAAAAGTTGCAGACTCAAGCAAAGGTTTCTCCCAGGAGCGATGATGAGGGTGAGTTGTCTACCCTTGACCTGTCATGGGGCCCTTATCATGAAACAGATGCAAAGGGATCTTCAGAGATGATTAAGACATATGTATATGTGGATTATTTAAATCTACTTGTCTGCAATTACTTTGATTGTTTTAGGTTCTTATAATTAGATAATATTTAAGACTAACTTACTTCATGTACCTGAGAAGATAGTGAAAATGTAAGTGACATAGATTTACGTGTAAATATATGTTATCTAAGCAGGAAAGGAATGATGCTTTGAATATTTGAGAAAGTCTGTTGGAGGTGTTTTTACCAGCAACAGCAATTAATATTTGATCATCAGAATTATGATATTTTACTGTGTTATCGAAGAAATAAAAATCTTACATTCATTTGGTTATTGTCAAAGCTTTAAGTGTGGTGCCACATATTGTTTGATAATTGTAATTGTATGAAATTTTATTGTTTTTCACCTTGTAATCAAACTTTGTGTTTCTTTTTGTTCCAGCACATGTTCCAAATCAAGCTGTAAGTATTACTTACCATTTTTTCCCCTTGTAAGTAATGTTTAAAAAAGTAATCATGATATATTTGGTTTGAATGATGTTTGTACATCATCTAGGGTTGATTTCCATCTGTGTGTTCTGCTACTGATAAGTCTTGCATATAAAAACATAAGACGACTGTCTGCATCTGTAACCAATTGGCTAAGAGGCAAGGCTAGTCAAATTTTTCTGACCACCGACAATGCACATTTTATAATATCGAAAATTATCATGTGCCGAATATGATGGCAAAATGCAATTTTGGACTTGGGGAACTCTAAATGCTTTGACACAAACTGAGACTATTCCGACAAATTGTGAGAAAATGGTAGACAGATGATTATGCCATGCATGCACATGGTTATGAGATTTGTTGAAATAGATCTCTTGTTTCTTATGACCTACCAGCCCCACGAACTGACCTTGCCCCTTGTTAAAAAGAAAATAATTCTTACTCTCACTTTGACAAATTCTTTGTGACCTTATGTCGACCTTGTGACCTTGTAATTATATGTATTTTGTGGAGAGCAATTGCTTCCTTTTAATGCTTTCACTAATTATCTAAAGTTATTTAAAACAATGCCCTTCATTTCTGAACAAAACATAAAAAATAATTACCCCGGTAATTCAAATCTCATTAATTAAGTTGACATATCCAAAAGCCCACAAAGCAATCCTAGGACTAAGACAGTCTTAACACAAATGTCTTGTATCATGTCGTTATTCATATTCCAGCTTCAAAATGATGAAATTGCTGGCCAGAACGACTTCATCAAACAATACTTAGCCCGTCAACAAAAGTCACTGCAGATGCAAATGGAAGTGAAGAAGAAAATAGAGGGTGAGTAATATTTAGATTTTTTGCATGGACTTCTTTTTCATTCTTGTACCTTTTCAAAGCTAACTTGTTGATCATGTTCTTATGAGTGTAACAACTCTGATAACAACATTCAAGTTCATGTGTCTGTTCATTATTGGGGCGGTCGGGTAGCCTAGTGGTTAAAGCGTTCGCTCGTCACGCAGAAGACCCGGGTTCGATTCCCGACATGTGTACAATGTGTGAAGCCCATTTCTGGTGTCTCCCGCCGTGATATTGCTGGAATATTGCTAACAGCGGCGTAAAACCATGCTCGCTCGCTGTTCATTATTTTTTGTTTCAATTTGGGTTTGTCATTTTTAGTGAGTGTGTGAGTTGGGTTTTAGCGCCGCTTTGAACAATATTCCAGTTATATCAGAGCTTGTCAGCTTAATGTGGGAGGAAAGCCTGAAGTGATGCAGAGCTCGGACGAAACAATCAATGCTTTCTGGCATGAACGTAACTCGGCACGGTGAATTGCGGCACCTTTGACCACTGGGTTACCGATGCCCCATCATTTTTATGTACAGACAAGCAATGTTTCCTAAAATTTTGAAATTCTACTAGTTTGTGTACATAAAATTGGGCAGTCATGTTGCAGCATTCAAAACAGCTGACTCCTGTTATCTTGTGGCACTGACATTTTAATTGCATGAAAGCAGTCATCCAATCTACTGTCACATCCGTCTATTAACACAGTTCAAACCTTTATAATACAGTTAAAGAAAGGATTTTATATTTGTGATCTTTCTGCTTATGTTATCTTTCATTGTTTTTTTATTCATTATGGAAATACAGTGTTTGAAATTAAGCATTAAAGTCAGATCCAAAAATAGTCCATGTTTTAACCCAACAGTCGAAAAAGATTCAAGGGATCCCTTGATTAAAATACAGCAAAGCTCAAGGACCCCAAACCCCCCTATTAAATTCTAACAGTGCAACCAAAGTATTGCAGCTTGTTGGTTGTGATAATAATCAGAGATTGAAACAAGGGGGCATCCTAGGGTCCTTGGGGTTTTCTGTAGGTTATTTGAATCTAAGGACCCTAAATCATTAGCTTTTAACATTAGGGTTATTACCGAAACCCCTTGACTTGCTTGCTTCATTTTGAAAGCTGATAATGTTCATCATTGTAGTTTTGTTGAGCTACTGGTCTTTTTGGCCAGTTTCATTTCAAGTTTTCAAAATATTGTACCTTAAAAGGAGCTTTTCTCATTTGATGTGTTTTGCTCATCTTCCAAAGACATATTGTATCCTTTGGTTTCTTTTATGTTGCAAGTATATGCAGCAATCTATATTTTAAGCAGTTTGGTACTTTAGCTACAAGTCCCAAGCCCTTGTTAAGAATTAATCATGGTATTAAAATTCAAATATGATAAGAAGTCACATATTTAGAAAATTTTCTTCTAATATTCATATTGGAGGGACCACCATCTGTATTGAACTTTTGACACTTTTGATTATGCCTTAAAACTCAAACTGTTACATATAAAGAATTGCTGAAATGAAGCATAGTATGTATTGTACAAGCTTATATCAGAGTCTATTAGGATTCAGCATGAACAGTGATTTGTTTCAGCATTTATCTTCAAAGACCAGATTGTTTATCTATTATGGTTATTGATTGAATAAGAATCTGAAATCAACATGTGGATATAAATGAAGTATCTTCTTATCATGCCTGGGGGTATTACTCTCTATTCATGGAATGTGGCAACCAACTCGTACGTTTGACGACTGTTATTTTTTTGTCACAAAAGTCAACTAGTGCCTTCATCAAAACCAATTCGTTCGTGAAATACCTTTTATCTGATGTGGGTCCATTTAGCACTGTTAAGTGAAATTTTGTAGTTTCTATGTGATGCCTCTATAATACAATGTTATAAAGCCCCACTGCTTTTGAAAATGTGGGCCTTTTTTTAGATTTATAGGCCAAAAGCTCAAGGGGCTTCCCTGAATTTTACCTGCCTTTGATATGGGTTAACACTTCAATACAAAAATATTTGCAACAGACTTACCAGCCACTATGGTATGTGGTTTTTCAAGACTCGCTTATGTAAATGACACCCTTTTGACCCGGTAACAATGTTATGTCAAATACACGAGGCCGACATCTGAGTTACATTGATTTCTTTCACTTTACATTTGGCTCCTGGTTGTGAATTTATGTTCACTCCAGAAATATTGCTGAGGCAAAAAAGAAAATTATATCTAGTGGGTACATGTGTATCTTGGGAAAAAAGAATACTTTGAAAACAAATAGTCTTCCAAAATTATCAAACAATAGTTTGTCATGTTTAACCCTCCATATGTATCTGATGATATCACATGATATAGACCTAATAATCTATAATGTAACCAGAAACAACTTCCTGCCCGTGGCTGGTAATTTTTCGGTTGGGCTACATGAAATTTTCCTCCACCTGTCTGTCTGGCAGATAAATTACTGACAACTTATGTGTTCAGTTTTATTTAACTCCTTGTTTAGATTCTGAAATGATTGTTTGCATTAGTTCAACTGAATCAAGATGCTATTTGTTTCTTATTTACATGCTTTTTTAATATTTATTATGTCTGAATGCAGGCAGGTAACTTGGGTTGGTTGGGTTGGGTTGGTTTGTTGTTTAACGCTGACTCAGCAGTATTCCAGCTATATGACGGCGGTCTGTAAAATAATCGAGTCTGGACCAGACAATCCAGTGATTGACATCATGAGCATCGATCCACGCAATTGGGATCGATGACATGGATTAACTTAGTCAGCGAGTCTGACCACCCAATCCCGTTTGTCGCCTTTTACGACAAGCATAGTCGCCTTTTATGGCAAGTATGAGGTAACTTGGAAGATGGGCAGGCAACACTTATGGGTCACCAGCCTGACTGTCTTGTTGGGTTTTAAAATTATTTCAAACACTGAATGTAACATTTATTTGATATTGATCACAATGTATGTTTGAAATTGAGTCTAAAAGTAATGGGATCCTTGATATTCCGAATGTTAAAACAAAGACATGAAACATTTATGGATAACAATGTCTATTGTTTGTCGGACCGCCTCCGTGGTCTTGTGGTAGAGCGTCCGCCCGGCGAGCGGAAGGTCCAGGTTTCGATCCCCGGCCGCATCATACAAAAAGACGTTAAAAGATTGTACTTGTTGTTACCCTGTCTGGCGCTCGGCATTAAGGGGCTAAAACAAGGACTGGTCGGCTCGGAGTCAGTATACTGTGTCTGAGTGGGGTATTCATGTTAAACTGCGGCATGGTATCTCAGTGAGCTAGCATCAGTCCGGACTAGTACAAGCAGCCACACACACACACACACACACACATACACGTGCATGCACGTCGCTATATAAGTGCAATAATCTTGGACGCGACGTTAAACCCAATTTCACCTCACCTCACCTTTATTGTTTGTCACAACATTTCAGGACTACTTCTTGACCCTTCACATCGGGTGAATACTGAATAGACATATTGACATATGTTGGATGTTATCAGCCCGAGAAACTTACGTTTTTAGTCCACTAGTCCTTATGATACCTTAAATATCGGGCAGTTTGGCAAGGACTACAGGACGATGGGGCTGCTTTGGGCTTGGGGTTGTTTTTGCTGGATTCCATTGGTTTTCCGAATGTTTGGACTAGCTATTAGATGTGACAAATATATGTCTATGGCCATCACAAAACATCTAGCAGTGATAAACCTTTGGCCAAGAAATCACGATCAAGCCCAAACTAGTCCCACACCTATCCCAGTCACGAGATCGGCCAACATAGCATGATGTGACCTTCACCTCTGACATAACTCTGAGAAAATCCTACATACCAGTCCATCCCATACCCTGGGGGTGGAGCCTGAGATCACTAGCAAGTGTGGAGACAAATGTATCGAAAGGACTTTCCGCCCCACTGCCACCAAAATAAGAGAACAAAAGACCTCTGTTACCAAATCTCACATGAATTCTGCCCTTTTGGAACTCCTCATCGACGATCATTATTCATATTTCCTGGCAACGAACCAGAATTCTCCATACCAACATCAATCACTGGAAAAAAGAGGAAAGTATAGATACAAGCCAGTCGTTAACAAACCAGGGCATCTACCTCTCCAGCACAGTGATGCAAATAACAATTGAGTCTACGAGCTCAAAAGTCATAGACTGCCAATGCATACTCTATTGTGCTACAACCAATTATTACCCTCACATGGACACCTTGATTGTTTTATTCTTATATTGAGCTCTAGTCAGCTCTTTATCACACTGAAGAGGATCACTCTGTTTTCACTGTACTTAATTTGCTTCTCTCCCGTCATTCCAAATGACATCCTCGTTATGTTGTTATCTTTCCACATTAATCCTACCTTGTGTACACATATGAGCATGTTAACTTGATTGGCTCACTCAGTATTCACCCATCTTCCCGAGGCAAGAGAGTTAACTGACTATAAAAGTCCAGTTTCCACCCTTGCCGAACTAGGCTGGAATTCCTGGGCTCGATCGTAGCGCCACCAGTGGTTATTAAAAGTTGTCCATTCTAAACCTCTCCTATGGACCAAACAGATTCCACCTCTCGCACCACATGCATTTGTTTAAAACAAAATTGCAGCGCCCAGCCTAGACGATCTGATCGATAATGAAGACCTATATTGTGATAAAACAGGTTTTACATCGCGAAGTGCATCAAATCACATGAGCACCTTGATTAAAAACATGAAATGATTTGAAAAATATCTTTTGACAACGAGTTGGCGGTGCATATGCTTTGCAAATCCTGCAACCGACAGAAATCTGCACGACAGTTTACGAACCGGTTTCCGATTTCGGTGCGCGATTGTGATTGGACTATGCATAGACTCGTTAGTACAGCCAAAATGTAACTCCATAATACCAACCTAGTTCGGCAAGGGTGGAAACTGGACTTTTAAAGTCAGTTAACTCTCTTGCCTCGGGAAGATGGTATTCACCTGATGAAGGGGCAAGAA